CTTGACCTTTTCTACTCCCATAATTGGTATAAAATTGGAAACCTTTTTTAGAGAAACCTTTTAAAAGCAATATTCTTGCACTGGGACGACCATCTCTGACAGATAAAGAAAATGTATAAATTAATAGATAAAAACTAAAACTAAATTAGATTGATACAGTACAATTCAAGTTCACATAATGGCACCTTCAATCAACAACAATAAGGTTAGCCTTGCCCAAGGTATCAACAATTTTAGTGACTGACATTGATAGCAAAGTTTTCCAAACACAATTGTCAAATCTTAATTTGAGCTATATTATTTTTTTTTAATTTTAGGAACAATTAAAAAATTGCCTTTTTGTCACTTTTTAAATACCCAGATTTTTTAAATAATTCAGAATAACAAAACTTTATAATGATCACGAGTACAATTTATTTGCAAAATTAATAATTCTAGATATTTTCATTTATGAGTAAGTTCTACTTTTAATATGATACTGTGATTGAGTTGTACTGTATATTTATTGAAAAAACACTCATTTTTGATTTAAAAAAAAATCTTGAGAATCCCTGTGCCTAACTAAAATTAAATCCTGCTGAAGAGAACACGAACTAATTAGACTTAGAATTATAATCTAGCACCTGACCTACCAAATCTCTTGCCTTCCTGCTCTCATAATCTGTGAAGAACTGGAAACCTGCTCTTGTGAAACCTTTAAGTAACAAGCAACGAGCTGACGGTCTTCCTTCTCTAAAATGATCAAATATTGTTACTTTCATAAAACATGTAAAGCTAAAATAATTACTCTTACGGTGAGTCTGACATATTTCTACTCGTCTCTTAGCTGCATTTTTGTTATTATTTCACCTCTAATCAGCCATTTTAACCTGAAATATTATATCTACCGGTATCGTATTTGCTCAATTAAAAATGCATTTTTGAAAGTAGTGCAAATAAAAAAAAAAATGCATGTAAGATACTTATTAAATTCACACTTACGCAAAGATGATTGCTCACAATATAGAGAAAATACTGTATTCTCAAAGAACAGTGAAATATTACTGAATCTATATTCGGCGAATACTGTATTTACTCTATTAGAAGTGCATGACTAATAGAAATGCATATAGCATTTGCCCTACCAAATTTACCTATATTCATAAGCTTTCAAAAGATGTATAGGTTTTATAGTATCATGTATAGTAAATTATAAATTATCACAGATAATTTTATAATTTTTTTATCCCCTGTTTGTTGTTTTTGTATACATGTTTTCTACTTTATGTAACTACTGAGGAGGGAGTGTTCTTTCATTAGAGAACTGAGCTATGTACAGCTAGCAATGACACCAAAGTAACTTGGTGTTGTACTTTTGGGGAAAGTATCTGGGAAAGGTAAAATCACTCAGAAAAATTGTCCAAACAAGCCATAATCCAGGGAACAAACAACGGAAAGAAGGGGTATGGGGTGGTGGTGCAAGCCACACATATATAATTAAATATATCGAAAGAGCATATACAATAAGAGAGCAAATAATATTAACACAGTAGTTTACTTTTTCTTGTTTGTTTGTCACACTTTTTGTTTACTTTTTAGCTTTATTACGGTACCTTCTACATGTGTAGAAACCAAAAAAAAAATTGTTAAATTTTCTTTAACGTTGTAATAAAGCAATATTCTATTCTA